GAAGAAACTTCCCGCGAATCTGACAGGAACGCAAGCCTACCTGAGCAGCCACCTGTCCCTCGCCCAGAGATGCCTGAAGCCGAGACGCCAGTTTCGTCGGCGCCAGAAGTTGCCCAACAAGCAGAAAAGTTCCTTCCAGCAGCAGCTTCATCAGAACCTAGAAGATCTGGCCGCCTGTGCAAGCGCCCGAGTTATCTGAAGGACTATGCATGTTCCGTTCTGGGGGAAAGGAGTGTGGCTTTCGGAAAAGACTGAGCTGAAGTCTTCACTCCGGTCCGTGTTTCCAGCGGGAACACGGACCGTTCCTATTGGCTGATGCCGTTTGACAGCTGGCTATAAAAGGGAGCTGTCAAATGGCATCAGCTGTTGTCCGCCAGCTGGCTGCCTTGTTAGCGCAGCAGCCGTGGCAACCCTTTATTGTTACAATAAAGTAAAGCTGAAGTTCGCTCCGTGTTCGCCTCAGGTTATTCTGCCGCTCTATAACAGCTGTCATCTGCTTCTTTCATTTTTTCCTGCTTAGAAACTTGGAAACATCTGATAACTATCCCCAAATCAGAAAGCCAGTAGTAAAACTGTAGACATTGCCAAGATCCATTCTAGGAAAATCAGAGTTTTCCCTTCTGCAAAAGGTTTAAATTTTATTTTTAAAAAGTTAACTAGTGCCTACCATTTTGCTGCTCACCAAAGAACTACTAGGTATGTTTTATTAGGGTTAATTACTGCTCAAAAGATAACCTTAGTTTCTTTAGCCTATGTGTAAGTTCAGCTGGGGGTCTAGCAGTGCAAATTTCCAGCGTGTACAATTTTGTTTTGTTTTTTAAAGGCTTTTATGAAGATGTTCACAAGAGACAATGTCTTTTGGCTTGGCCTCAAGAAAAAATCAAATCAATCTTGAAGTGGCTAGATGGAGAAAATTCAATGTGAGTCTTCCTCTTTCCCTTTCAGTTGGCAAGAGCCAAAAGTTAATTGCCTTCACTGAGGCTCCATGCAGCTCAGGACTGATCCTAGAAAGAACCTGCTGGCTGCCAGTATTCGCGAGTTGCCCTCTAAAAAGATTTGGCCCTACTAATGAAACTTGAAATGCATTATGGGTAGTCCTCGATTTACAGCCATTCATTTAGCAAACATTTAAAGTTACAACAGCACTGGAAAAAAAGACTTGTGATTGATCCACACAATTACAATCATCATTAGTATCTCCATGATCACATGATCAAAATTTGGTCAAGTATTTATTTGTTAGCAAAATTTATATGGCCACCCAATTCACTCATAGTGACTTTGGGTAGCTTATAGAAATAAAAGAACAATACTAAACCCAATAACACCCCCCCTCCCAATTGATAACAATCAAATAAAGCAATTGATGGGCTCCATGTCACCCTGGGTTGCCTAGTTTGCTAGCAAAACAATTAGAATGGTTGCAGCATACTGGGGTCGAGTTTGCCACTTTTGTGACCTTCCCGAGAAGCGATTTCAGGGAAAGCTGGATCCGCTTAAAATCATTTGATTCATTCAACAACTGCAATGACTCGCTTAACTATAGCAAAGCAAAAAAAAAAAGTTATAAAATTGGGCACAACTCAGTTAACAACTGCTTTGCTTAAGCAATGGAAATTCCAGTCCTAATTGTGGACTGCCTGTACAAATAGCGTGCTCAGAATTAGTCCAGAATGTAGAGCTCCTGGGACACAGCAGTACTGTACAGTCAACACTACCCCATAGGTGAATTGGGGAACAATCTGCAGAATCACCTTTGAGAAGGCAAGGCTCCGCTAGATGAACTGTAAACTCTGGACCTCTTTGGTACTGCAGTGTGGGGGATATTTCCAAGTGTCTAATTTCTGCTTCTATTGCAGGTTGGAAGTCGTGGGAAATGGAGGAGACTGCGTTTTTGGATGATGATGCCGAAGCCAGCTCAGGGAGATGCAGTACTAAGCACCGCTACATTTGCAACAACCACAAAAAAAATACCCTAAGAGACCCTGAAAAATCTTTAATGACCAGTCAAAACAAAGACATAGTCATCGTTTTTTTTACAGTCATGTAAAAAGGAAAATACACCCTCTGAAATAGAAATCCACAGGACACACACATACCCCATATACACATACACAGACCAATACCTGCTGTTTGACTCCCACCACCCACTTCAATACAAACTAGGAGTCATAAGGACACTACGTTACAGGGCAGAAACATCCCTGCTGTCAAGGATGCCCAAAAGAAAGAAAATAGGCACCTGATGACACTGTGGGTATCCAAATTAAACCTTTATGAAATCAGCATCTTCAGTGGAAGAATCCGGTTATTCCTTACATGGTGGATAGCTAAAATGGATATTTGAAAAACACCATATACTTGTATTCTTCAAACCCACCAACACACTGAGACAGAGGTTTGCCCATCCTAAAGATTGGGCACCAAAACATAAGAGTAATTTATTGTATGCCGTCCAGGGCAGCGAAGGATGTTCAGTGCTCTAGAAACAAGCAGCTTTTTCAAGGGGATGGCCCAACACAGAAGAAGCAACACCACAGGACCAGAATCAACAGTATACCTTCATTGAAAAGGGGGAAAAAAGACACTCTTTTGAGGACAATAATGCTGACATTTTAGACAAGGAAAATGAGAGGAGTGAAGGAATCCATTTATGAAAAAGTGAAAAACGCTTTTCTCAGCAGAGGTATGACATAACCTTTCCCCATATTTTATGCTGCTCTTTCATTAGTCCCCAAGAAAATTAAAACCAGTACACAGGTTCATTAGGGAGGCACATTTAATGACTCATCTGAGGTAAAGGATTTAGGAATATTTAGATCCCAATGACTCTCTTGTCTATCCAGATTAGGTGAGGAATGAAACCTCTCGGATGACATATATGGGATCCCCATAACCAATTTGCTCAGATTGAATGAGTTACTTGGATAAGCAGGGAAACATTTTGAATCAGCAAGGTAAAATCCAGTTGCCATAACTCAACTTTCAAACAACTTTACCTGGATGACTGAGAATCTTCATCAACCTATTCAAGTAGCTCTCACCTCAATAATTTGATATAATTTTATGACTAGCTATGAGAAAGGCATTGCAGTTTATATCCGTTGACTAGAAGTGGACAAAACATAAGGTATAGTTTGCAGTTGTAACATCAAAATTTGCTATATTGGCAAATACATGGGAATGACTTTTAACAAATATTTTTGGACTGATGGATAAAAATTATATTTGGCAGTATTGTAAATAATTTCTAGATTGCATCTATATTGACTAATCTTGCATTTTGTAACTTGTCGTTCCTTTATTAAGGATTTTGTACATTCAATTCAGAAAAAGTTGTGTCTTTGCATTAAAATCTATTTAAATGAACATTCTTGTACATCTATGGATTAATAATATTAAGGATGCCTTAACTGGTTTGGAACTAAGATTAGAATTCAGCAGGGCAAGGATCAAAGATAGGTGTTCTTAAATAGGATTCCACAGATGTCTTTGTAGTCTATGGATAGATTTCAGGTCCATGAAATTTGCTGATCCCTGTATTAAACATTTTAACATTCCATTATAGTATGGTTGCATAAGGAGGGTTTTAAGTCACAATTGACTTGCTGGGTTCACATATATCTCTGGACCCAAACCAGAAATTACAGTATGTCAGAATGTGGGAACCATACCAGTCACTTCCTTTGAATTGATAAATCTCAAAGTAAATTCATAAGTGCCACCCAGCTTTCTACTGCAGGATTTTGCCCTGAAAAGAACATCCAAAACATCTGTAATATTTATTTTCTTTTTGTTGGCTCTGTAGGCAGAAAAGTCATCAAGGAAGCAGGATCATTCTTTTATGAATAAAAGTTGAGCTAAGTTCAGTACTATATATCTGGCTTAATTACATTTATATTCCACCACAGTAATGCCGTTCTTCCATTTGCTTCATGATTTATTTAAAAAAAAGTGAATTGTGTTTGAATTTTAAGCTGTCAACATTTTCAAAATATTTGTACTCTTAATGCTGCACAATGCACTAAACTATGACAGTGCAAGCCACTGGATTACAAACTTAAGAGTAAAACCTTATTACCTAAGTTTGGATAATGAAATGTTTTCAAGAAAACAAGCTGAGAGAATACCAGGGATCGCTCATTTCAATCCTGAGCTCCAAATATTCCCTTATCGAAACTCTAGTTCGTTTGTGATTCAAATAAGTGAACAATCACCTCATTAGTGTTAGTTTGGGGAACACAATTTCCGGTGGGCCGCACTACAATTCCTTTCACCAGAGCCAGTGCGACTTGAAGTAACAGGAAATGAGTTCCAACAAGAGGGGACCTAAAAGTGCTTTTTCAGGAGGCAATTGGACTGTTGTTTTTTCTTTGAAGACATTTTGCTTCTCATCCAAGAAGATTCTTCAGCTCCGACTGGATAGTGGGGAGTGGAAGGATTTATATTCCTTGCAGACAGCTGGTCATTTGTCTCCTTTTAGAGAGTCGTGAGGTACTTGGAGGTTTATCTGTGTCCTCAGGGTCACCTGAGTGGTGCTCCTGGTTCCTGAAGTCTGCATTTTTTTTCCTCTGGGAATCCGTTCATACTTGCACACCATTCGAAGGGACACAGAAATAAACCTCTAAGTGCTTCAATGACCCTTTAAATGCAAATAACCAGCTGTCTGCAAGGAATATAAATATTTCCATTTCCCCACCATCCAGTCCGAGCTGAAGAAGGTTCTTGGATGAGAGGCGAAACGTCTACAAAGAAAAAACAACAACAAAGTCCACTTGCCTCCTGGAAAAAAAAAAAAAACCACCTTTGTGACAACCATGACTTGGATGACTGAGAATCTCCATAGAGAACAAGAAGGGACTTCCTGTTCTTTCGGCTGTCCCTTCCGGCGCGCGAAGCGTTACCGCGCCAACGTCTCCCGTTGCCGGCTCACTACTTCGACGTCGCCTCGGCCGCGCCCCTTCCGCGAGGCAGCTCGGCCAATCGGAGCTCCCGCCGGAAGGGCCTCGCGCCGTCTTGGCGAAAAGAGAGCGCATCGTGCGCGGTCGGTGGGCGGTCGGGCAGGCAGGCAGGCAGGCAGGCAGCCACCATGAGCGGAGGCCTGGGAGGAATGACGGCGGAGCAGCTCTTGCAGCAGAGGCTTCTCCGGAGCCGCCTGCGAGGCGCGCAGCACCCGGGCCTGGGCATCGGAGGCCCGATCCCGCCGTCGCTGCTGCAGCCCGGCCCGCCATGCCTGCTCTCTCCTCCGGAGCCACCCGACTCTCCGCCGCCCGGCACGACGCCCGCCGAGATCCCCGCCGGCCCGCGTTACCCGAGCGAGACCTGGTGCTCCTTGTGCCGCGTCTACTGCCCGGATCCGGTGTGCCTTCCCTGCGGGCACAACTTCTGCACCGCCTGCATCGGGCAGCGCCTGGGCGAGCCCAAGATCAACATCTCCTGCCTGGAGTGCGGCGCCAGCGCCCGCAAGAGGAACCTCCGGCCCATCAAGCCGCCGTCGCTGCTGGCCAACCTGGTGCTGGAGAGGCCCAAGCGGCAGAGGCTCGATTCCTTCACCGGACCGGCGGCAGCAGCGGCGGCGGCGGCGGCGGCGGCAACAGCCACACTAGTCCCCCCGGCGAGCGCAGCAGTAACACCAGTGGCGCCGCCGGCGCCGGTGGTGACTACCCCGACAATCGTCCCTCCGGCGCCCGTCGTCTCAACGCCCGCCACCCCGCCGCCTCCGTCCCCAACGCCGCCGCCGGCCACCCCTCCGCTGCTTCTCGCGCCGTCCCCGGCCGCCCCCTCCACGCCGCCCCCGGCCCCCTTGCCCGTCGCCTCCCCGACCGGGAGAAGGGCGCCCGTGGCTCTCGGAGGGGCTGGAGACGGGAACGGGGAGAGGCTGTGCGAGATCCACCAGGACGTGCTGCAGTTCTTCTGCGAGGAGGACCAGACGCCCATCTGCGCACACTGCGACCGATCCCAGGAGCACCGCGCTCACACCATCTTCCATGTCGAGAGGGCGGCCCGGGATTACAGGGTAAGGAGGAGCCAGGGGGCCCTCTTGTCTAAACGCCCCCCCTCTTCCTTCTATTTTCTTTAAAAAAAAAAAAAATTCGTTACGTTTTTGCTGTGGAAAATTAGATGTAGGAAATGCCAGACGGAAATAGCATCTATTAAAAGTGTGCTTTCCAGTTGAGGATATACGTTTTCCCCAAATGATCATCATTTAATAGAGCCAGAGCCTTTGTTAAGAGTGGGTGAGGCAGCTTACGAAAACATAATGCTAAATTAAAACAGTTAAACACAAAATAAAACTAGACAACCTGGACTAAAAATCAATTATGAAAATACTACCACAGCCCCCTTTCCCTATGGTATATATTACATACATACATACTTTTTATTATTATTATTTATATAAGTAATAACCCAGGCCTAGTACCAAAGCTAGGTTTTAAGGGCCTTTTTTTTTAGAGCACCAGGCTGTGCCATTTGTATCTTTGGGGAGCAGTAAGATAGGTATGGGCCATGACTGGGAATGTACACTTTGTAGGTGCTGTAATATGACAATATTTAATAGAAGGTACCAGGTAATGCTCAACCCAAAGGTACCAGCCAGCTAACAATGGAAGAAGAATGGTCCCTCAGGGAACCAGGTTCTATGCCACAAAGGCTTTTAAAAGTGAGAACTAGCACCTTGAATTATGTTCAAAAGCCAACTGGCAGGCAAGGCAGCTCACTAGCAGTATTGTTTTGTACAATTCAGTTGCCCATCAAGCTACCAATATTTCTTTAGCGCCCCCTTTTTATAGCACCTAAAGTGCGCTCCCTCCCTCCCCCTCCATATATATATATATATATGTATATATATATATTGTTTTCTGAGGTTTTCGCGGGTATTTGTATGTGGATCTTTGGTTATTCGGGTTTTCTCCCGCGTAAAATTGGAAGTATCTAGGCAAGTATCGAATAACCAAAGATCCATATATGTGAATATGAAAAATACATAAGGCCCCTTTACTGTGTTTTGAACCAGCTATACTTTCTGGATGGAAGCACATTGTACTAGTCCAAATATGAAGTGACCAGGGCTTTAATTAATTGTAAATTGATAATATGGACATTTAAATGTTAATTTGACTGAGCAATCTGTTTTATTGACAGCAGGGTTATGAATATGGGTATCCAGCAATCTCAGAAGTGCTAAACATATCTTTGTGCAATGATCTGGAAGGCAAGACACTTAAGTAGTTTTCAATTTATAACCACAATTGAAGCAAGGTTTCCGTTGCTAAACAAGACAGTGGCTATGTGACTTTTGTCCCATTTTTTGACCTTTCTTGGCACAGTTAAGTGAATTAGTGTTAATCTGGCTTCCCCTTTGACTTTGCTTGTTAAATGGTTCCAAAAGGTGATCACATGATTGGGACATTGCAACCGTAGTGAGCTTGTTGCCAAGCAACCAAATGTTGATCACATGACCACAGGTTGTTTGTGCTGCAACAGTCTGAAAAATAGTAATGAGTCACTTTTTTCAGTGCCACTGTAACTTTGAACAGTCACTAAATGAATATTTGTAAGTTGAGGACTACTTGTGTTGCGTTTACTATATGGAATGCACAACATATTAAATAATCATACTTCTGTTTGTAGCTTAATTTCATGTATTTATTGATAAAGCTTGAATATTTATTATATTTTCCTGTTTCTTTGACAAGACCGGGTTCAGAAGAGAAATTTTTGATTTATTTAGGCTTGCTACACTATGTTCTTACAAGTTAGCAGCATCTGATTGACTGTCTGATCATGAAAAGGCCAAATAGCCATTAGAGCCTAGTACTTAGTTAAAAGACTGTTGGAGGATCCCAGAACTGCATACTAGGTTTTGAAGGGTTGTTTTTTTTTAATTACTTTTGATTCACAAATCCATGCAAGTATTTGAAAATTCAACTGTCACCAACATTTGCACAAGGGCCTTCTCTAGTTTTAGCTCTAATGAAATAAAATATGCAGCTAAATGGAGCATTGTAATCTCTGGTGTCCAATATCAAGGTTTTGTGTATTGTATTACTTTGGTGATCTATGGGACTATGGGGTTGGTACAGATAGAATCAGTGCCCAAGACTCTTGAATGTTGTTTTAAGAAGCAAGAGTTAGCTTTATGGCTGTCACCCGTTATGAAGCCTAAAGAAACAAGAACGTTCATACTAGTGGGAATGAGATGACGTCAGTATTCTGCTTTGTATACCTATTTCTTTTGGATAGGCATTATGGCAGTGTAGTGGATAAGAAATATTGGCCCAACAACATTCTAACCTATGTTGCAATTATCCACTATAGTATTTCTCAAACTTTTTGTTCTGGGGGACTCTTGAGGTCTCTGAGTTTCCCTGCATACAAATTAATATATATACCTCCCAGAGTCACTCTGGGAAGGGAGATGACAGTTTCTAAATTTGACATATAAATAAAATAAATATCTACAGCTAGCATTATGTGGCATGCAAAGTCAATCACAACCTCTTGCTGAACCCCTAGAAACTTCTCAGGGACCCCAGTTGAGAAAGGCTAATCTAGTTTGTGTGCAGTCCCATCCAGTTTGGTTTATTTACGGGTTAGTATGTTGTGTGAAGTAGCCAATTGAGGTAAAATAGTTAACCAAAGATTAGCATATTATGTGAACGCAGGCTGCCTGTGCTGTAATTTCCAAGGTCTTACTGCCTCTAATCTTCTCCCCCCTATCTCAAGCCGTTTTTATTTATTCAGGCGCGAGTTAAGGCACAATTAGAAACTCTGAAGCAGGAAAAAAATAATCTGTGGAGCCAGAAGTTGTCAGGCGAAAAGAAAATCCAAGAATACACGGTAGGTACTATTACATATCATGAGCAGAGAAGTAGGGCTTGAATTTCTGAATTCCTCACACACACACTCTTCTCAAAAATTCTCCTTATTGTGTTTTGATTCTCCGTTTCTTCAAAGTGTTCTATGGCCATTTCTTCTGTGTCTGCACTGTCTCTTATGCAACATCTACAAGAAGTCCTCAATTGGGACCCAAATTTCCTTACAAAGCAAGCAGTTGTTAAGTGAGTTGTGCCTGATTTTATGTCCTAGTTTGCCACAGTTCTTGAGCGAATCACCGCAGTTGTTAAGTGGAACACATGATCATTAAGCAAATCCCTCTTTTCCTATTAACCTTGCTTGTTGGAAGCTGGCTAGGAAAGTTGCAAATGGTGATCCCATGACTCCAGGATGCCATATAATACAATCAGTTTTGCACTGTGTCTCCTTCAACCCCATAATGATCTTCTGGTTATATTCCTCATTGGGATGGTTCACTCCTTTCTCACCCCGCCTCTGGTCCTTATAGGAAAAGGTTGAGACCGAAAGGAAGGACATCGTCACTGAATTTGAACAGCTGCATCAGTTCCTGAAAGAACAGGAGGAACGCCTGCTGACCCAGCTGGAAGAGCTAGATAAAGACCTAGAGAAGCAGAAAGACGACATGATGACCAAAATCTCAGAAGAACTTACCCGTCTTGGTGATGTCATCACTGAGATGGAGATGAAAAGCAAGCAACCGGCGAGTGAATTTTTGCAGGTGAGACTTTGCGATCACAAAGGTCTCTCTTTCTGGCTTGGAGGTGACCTTACCAATGAGTCAGAGGCCCTGGCACTGGGCTCCCAAGGTTTTGGATGTGAGGTTTGTGAATTCCTGGCCCTTAGATATAGTTGGTCAGACATGAACTTGGATGTGATCCCTACTGGAACCCAGAACAAGGATTCAACTATTTATTCTTAGGGGGGTGGGGGGGAAATCTACATATTGGCCACAGTGGGGTACAGGCCATAGACAGGTAATGGGGGCTTCCCTGAAAAGTGTTCCCCCTTCCCTTTCTACTCTGCACATGTGTTGGCATTGGCCTTTCTGGTTGGTGCGGCTGTTTGTGATGAAGCCAGATTAATTCCATGCTATGGGTGGGAGTATTTTCCACCCTTGCAGAGTGTTGACCTTTCATGGGAAGATGAAGGGGGACCTTACTAGTTTGGTCTGTGCTCTCATGGAACGGTGCCCTTCGACTTCTACAAGGGAGAGCTGGAGCTCTGGAGCTCCTCCCATTGCAGGATGCTATGACATCGTAGCATTCTGCTGTTGGCAGATGTACTTCCAGGTCCCTCAGCCTGACCTGAAGGCTGTTGAGAAGCTGGCCTGGATGATCCCATTCCTTCAGGTTCATGTCGGGACCCATCGGGTATGGCTGCCATGCAGACCTCTAGTACGTACTGTCCTGTTAATATGGGTTCTCTCAAGGGCGATTGGGTTCTCGGGCTGCAGCCGCTGCAGTGACGGGATGGGATTCGATGTTGCTCCTAACATTTGGTCCATGGATGAGTTGCATGCCTCCAAAGAGACACGGGTTGGTGCGGGGAGCGGGGGAGGAAAGTAAACTTGGGCACATAGTGAACAAGTGGGGTTTCTCTTGTGGAGAAGAACAAGAGGGTGTTGTGCCGTATGTGTGCCTGCAAAAAAGCCTGCGTTTTCTGGGATCTCCTTAGGGTCTTCCTGTGGTCCACTCCGTGGCGAACATCATATGTAGCTATTCCAAGGATGTGAGGCTGGTTTATTTTAAAAATCGAGCAGCACCTCCTGCGCACTTGATCTCTTGGCACAGAATCCTTTTGTTTTGTTTTGTTTTTTAATTATTTTGCAACCAGCTTTCTGATCACAAGCAACAAGGACAAGATTTTTAGGTAACCTGTGACGTGCAGAGAATCTCTCTGAGGCACAACGGGTGATGGTGAAGAGTCACCGTGACCCTGGGACGGGGCATTGCGGGGGTGGGGGGGGGAGGCCTTTGGGGGTCCTTCCTTCTGAGCCTGGGCTTGTCAAAGCACAAGGCACAGTTGCCTCGGTTGGGCCGAAGTATAAGCCATGCCCTCCTCTGCATTAGGTGTGCCTACCAGAGAGCCCACTTAGAGGTCCTGTGGGTGGTGAAGCAAGGTGTAGCTGGTGGGCAGGCCTTGGAGGGGGCCACAAAGCCAGCCTGCTCACTGGCAGAAAGGGTGGGCGGACAGTTCGGGGAGGAGAAGGCTGCTGAAAGAATTAGGGCAGCCCTTCTCCTCAGAGAACCAGTTACAGCACCAGGGAGAGCAACGTGGCCTGAAGGCTCCCGTGTGTAACCGGAGCATCCCCCACCTCTTGTCTTGAAGCAAACATCCGATGTTCCACCTCAGGGATCACAGGTAAGAGCCTGAGGGTGACTGGGGGGGCAGGCTACTTCCCCCTGCCTTGTAAGCACCAGAGGCTAGAACAAAGCTCCCACCTGTCATGCCTTGGACAGCGCTCACAGAGTCCTCCTCTGCAGCCCGAGACAAGGGTGCTGAGGCATGCTCCCCATTAGCCAGTGATAGACTGCAGGGGTAGGGCACTGTGAGGCTCAATGTCTTCTTCTTTTTTCTCTTTCTTCTTTCTTTTTCTCTTCTAGGACATTAAAACAAACATGGACAGGTACGTACAATTCTCCTCCTTCCCCTTCTCCGCAGGGTCTTCCATTCTAAAGCACCGTCCTTGGGTTTTGTAGGCGGAGGTCATGGAACGCTCTCATATTTTCTGCTAAAATCAGGGCAATCGAGGGGCTTTCGGAGGGAGGTCACATCGGTGGGACTAGCTCTAATCTTAATACATACAAGTGCTCAGCTGCCATAAAAGAAACATGGCAACTGTGACGAAGCAAGAAGAATTATTATTTTTAGAATAGTGGAGCTACCAGACTGTATGCTCATTAACAGAGAGCATAATGTATTATTAATTCTCTAGGGTACATATTGTCAAAATAGATGTTGGAGTTTTGCATAAAAAAAAGCCCGGTAGTTTCTATTACTGGTTTCATTTGCCAGCACTCAAAAATCTGCCACCTGAAGCAATTACACCACCTTGCGCGTTTGAAGTAGGAGTTAGCATTTCTGGAGCAAGAAAGGCAAATATATAAAAAAGTGAGGTGCTAGAATTTGTTATGTATTAGTGCTGCTTTCCTTGGGTTAGGATACTAGGCTAGTATGTTGTTCTCATTGTAGTCCTTAAGAAATACATAAGAAAAATACAGAACATGCCAAAAATTGAACTTTTTCATAAGTGGTGTAAATGTGCTCTTTAAAAATTCAGATGCACCGTAGAACAGTTCCCGTCAGCTGAAGAAGCGACATCCGAGCTGGGAGAGCGACTGGAGTTGCTGTCACGGAAAGGGGTGGTTCTGAAGGAAACTATGAATAGATTTCAAGGTACGCAAAAGGGATTAAATAATCAGTAGCCTCTAATTGCTAACCCAGGATACTGCGGGCCTTTTTAAAGGCTATGCTCATTCTAAGACATTTTGTATGCTCTTTTATTTATCAACGGGCTAGTCTTTAAATCTTGACATAATGCGTTAAGTGCCAGCTTAGATAGGAGGAGCCCCTGTTTTACATCTGAAAATCTCTGATAAGCAGTGAGGGCAAGGGAAGGTAGGATATACACAGACACACAATATATTTCAATGAGATGGCCAATGGAAGCGTTGAATTGAAAGTCAGAATATGATGCAGGCAGAAGCTGCTGTAGGAAAAGAATAAAATGAAAATGGCTCCCTAAGCTGAATGTGCTGAAAAAATAAATATGGAGGGAAAATAGAATTCAGCTATTAGAAGCCATTCAATGGACAGCTGGAGTGAGGGAATCAATATCTACTTGGCTAAAAGCAAGTTGTGCCAAGTATGGAAGATAAAATAATGCCTCACTAACGGATTGGCCATACATTGATCAAGCAATTATTATTTATTTAGCGTGTGGCATACAGTGTCGGGGAAATCCACACATGTTAGGTACACAGTGCAGTCCTGACAGGCTAGATTTCTAGTTCATTCTGTTTGACTCTTGCACATCTATTCTTGGTGCATTATGGTGAGGTGAGAGAGAGGGAAACTAGCTTGGTGCTAATTAACTAGCAGTACTCAGGTTACTGGCTCTTATGGGCTGCCATCACACTGCTTCAGCCTTGCTTCCCTGTGATGGCATCCTGCCATAAAAAGGAGGGAGGGGGAATATAGGGAAGGGGGATGACAGAAACCAGAAGTGCCAACCAGAGACAACAGGTAAAAGATTCGAGGACCCAGGCATGAGAACATAATGCAAAGGCCCATCAAAAAGGTGCCAAACTTTAGACCTGTTACTGAAATACGTAGTTTGAATAGCATTGGGGGGGACGAGGATGACGGGGGGGGGGGGGGGGGGCTGGGAGAAGGGAAAATCACTGGGTTTATGCAGGAATGTTCAGATCTGGCTTTGCTTACGCTGTAACCACTTGGATTTAGTAAAAACATACCTTTCGCTATGAATGGAATTGGGGGTCTTTCTTTCCTAAATGCCCAAGATGGGACAGGGCTGCCAGCTGGTTTCCGCTCTCAGCATACACGAACACAGCTAGGTTTTTTTCATTGAAGTCCTGTTAGTCATAATATTGCATGCTTTCCAATTGCTGGGGAGGCAGGAGCGAGGGATTGATTGAGGGGAGCTCATTCCGTCTCATGGAGCCGGGCTTGAACCGCCGGAATGGAGACCATTTCTTGTCTGGCAGTTCCAGCATCATTAAGCCACGTCCCTCTGGTTTCACTGGTTAATCAGTAAAGTTAGTTTTCCCTACATTGGAGGAGCTACATTTTGACAAATCCCTGTTTTCTCTAGATAATGTGACATATGCCATCGAGAGAACAGACACTGTGAAATCACTGAATGATAAAAGTGAGTTTTTGGGAAACATCTGTTGAATTTGTACCTGTTTCTGTGTTTTACTTGATTTCCAATGAAAACTGCTTCAGCTACTGAGGATATATTGCTAATGCAGAGTGGGGACATGGATTGCTTTTATTCCAGCACTGAGTATAATCTAGTGCGAATTCTTAGCCAGTTATTCATTTCGCGTTCACAATTCTTTTGTAGAGTGTTTTACCAAAAGACTAATGATTGCAAGTTTATTAAAGAAAGAAAATCAAAACTGTAAATCCAAGGATTAGAAACAGCCTGAAGTAGGAGATTATAAAAACTCTGAATTCTTTTAAAGTATTGTGTGGAACTTCCTTTTATTTTTAGTCATCCGCAGAGTGGCACTTTGTTTTTTTCCCCTCCCTCTTTCTCTTAACTGGGTGAATGAGTCAATTTTAAAAAAAGCATATCTGAGATATATGGCAGGTATGTGAATGAAAAGTACTCTTTGGGGTGCGAGGTTTTATTTCCCTAATCTGTGAGGCAGTTGTTTTTTAATTTTAATATTCGGAGTCTTGATTGTATGGCTCTTGGGTGTAACAAGTCCTTTGATTTGGACTTGAAAGTCCTTGTCCTTTGCTTTAATCTATTAATCTAGCGAATTCCATCTGTTGGCTCTGTTTAAGATCTTAGCAGAGAACTCTCAACAGTCCTGAAACCACCTTAACTGGGGATGCAAGGATTCTATGGCTCAGTAGATAATAGTTTTATTTGTTTTTATTTATTTTTCACATTTTTTTTTGAACCACCCGTGGGATTTATGCAGGTGGCCTGCTGATTCCACACTGTTGTGATTTCTGGGAATCTCAGTCCAAGGTAGAGTTGCAGTGTACCTGAATTTTGGGGAAGTTGCCAGGAATAGCTAACGATACAGAGAGATGTAGTGATACAGAGCTGAGCAAACAAGAGCCAGAAGTGGAAGGAAAATCAAGGTGCTGACAAACGTTGCTTCTTTCTGCTCACAGGAATGTCAGCTCTGGATCTGGATTTCTCAAGTGCTCTTCTGCCCCTGGACCAAAGAAATGCCGGAGATGGAGAATCTCGGCACAGGCTGCCTGCCTTACATTACGTTCCTGATACTCCCCAGAGAATGGATTCCAGGGCTCTGGTTCTGGGCTGTGATGGGTTCACCTCTGGGAGATACTTTTGGGAATTGGAAGTGGGCGATGGGGAATTCTGGGCAGTGGGGGTCACCCGAGATCCTTCCAAGAAGAAGGGGATGATGGACTTCAGCCCAGAGGAGGGGATCTGGGCTGTGGGGCTGTGGAAGGGCCAACACTGGGCCCTCACTTCCCCTGTTACGGCCTTGTCCCTGAGCCAACACCCCAAAAGAATCCGAGTGTCCTTGGACTACGTGGGGGAATGTGTGACCTTTACTGATGCAGACACTGAGGACCCCATCTTCACATTCCCACCAGCTTCTTTTAATGGGGCACGTACCCATCCTTTGCTGTGGGTAGTAGGCTTCCCAGCCCAGTCTGTGTTCCTGAGGCGTATGGGTGTAAAATACCCAGTTGGGGTACATGAAATGGATATAATGAGTCCATAATTTTAAAGTATCCACGTACCCAGAGGAAAAAAAAAAAATTACAGATCTCTTAAACCTGCCAGATCAGAGCAGGGTGTTGAGCCATTTTGATTTAAAGAGATTGGAAAGATTGGCTGTTTTATCTCCGCTTTGTGTACTGTAGAATGTGACATGGAAGCAGAACAACTCTCCTTGCACACCAAGGCCTTAAGAATGTTGCCCTGGGGAACAAAGGAAGAATTGAAAAGGGTAGGTAGGCTGGCTTGGCCTTCCTGACATAATATCCCTTTTAGGACATCCTCTTTCACCAAGGGATCAAGATGACCCCTTTCTAACGTTAGGCTTGACCTTTTTAATTTTGAAAAGAAAAAAAAAAAGAAAAGAAAATTAGCTATTAAATTTTTGCATTTTTAGTTCCTCTTCAATCAGTTCATATTTTGCATTTTAAAGATTTTACTTTAAAAATGACTGCATGTGTTTCAGCTGCAATACCTAGCAGTATGTTTTCCTTTGAAATGAAAGGCTTTAACTCTGTCCTTCGTGCTGAAAAAAAAAAAAACTTTTTTTTTGAGTACCATATACCTAAATTTGGCCATCCCTGGGTCAGAGATCCTAAACGGAAGCACCGAGTCTTGGCATCTGTGGCAGCTTTGACTGGACCGTCCTTCCTCTACACCTGTAGGTTCTTCTCTTTTGCTGCCGTTCTCTGAAACTTGATTACAACCTTCCCTGTCTTCAGTCTGATCCTGGAGATGAAATGGACAGATGTTTGTGCCATAATAATAAACTGGATGCTCTGATTTTAACGATGAAATGCAATGTCTTAAAGATATGTAAAAGGAACTCTGGGGTTATGGTTGATGCCTACAGAATATACAAATCATAATAAAGACTGTTAGTATGTTCTTTAGTGTATTTCATATTCTGTTTGTATAGCATCTCTTTTCTGTATGCATATTTTTTTTTGTAAAATTTTTGCCATGTCTGCTCGTTGAGCACAGCATGTTTCTGTAAGAAGGAGCAAGTACCCAAAATAAAGCTCGGAGTTTTTTTTAAATCATAATTTTGGGGGGAAACCCAAGGCCCAATTTTAATAACGTTATCTTTTAATCGTGTGCTTAGCTTAGTTCTGACCAACACCCGACGAGTAACTATCCAATGATTTTGGTTGAACACAATGGCTTCTGCTTCAGTAAAATGGAACTTTAAAAGTTACCCTGCTGTATATCAAATTATATTTTCCCACTTTGAAAGTGGATTTCAACTCCCAGCTGACCTAGTTGATCTCAGAAAAAGCCAAGCATGATTTGTATGGAAGATCACCAGGAGGTCCCTGGCTAAACTGGGAAGTGAAAAGAAAATTGAAACGGGCAATGGCAAACTGTCTTGATGTGTTTGCAGAGGAAATTAGACTATATACGGTAGATAAAAAGCTGAATTGAATTTGACACGGGAGTCCCTTTTTTAATTGTGAAGAAAATAATAGGGGAATCCAAACAAGGTATGAAACTTGGCTGTAGTCCTGTCCATTGAAGCAGCCTTCCCCAGCCTTGTATATCTGGATGTGTTAGAATAGACTCCATTCTTCCATGGCAGAGGAGGATGGGAATTGGAGTCCAGGTTATCTGTAAAGTATTAGTTGGCAAACAACATTAAACTGGGCCTTTTGGCTGGCACTTAAGAGATCTGGCTTTTCTGACTTCAGGCATGCAAGTCATTTAAAAGTCTAGAGATTCTCAGTCATCCAGGTCATGGTTGTCCCAAAGGTGCTTTTTCAGGAGGCAACCACCTTGTTTTTTTCCTTTTTCTTTGAAACAACCCTCTAAAACAGGGGTCCCCAACCACCGGTCCGCGGACCGGTACCGGTCCGTGGAACAAGTCCTACCGGGCCGCTGGTTTGCTGGGCGCCGCCATCTTTTTTTGATGAAAAAGTGCTTCCGGTGAGGTCACCGGAAGCACTTTTTTATCAAAAAAAGATGGCGCTCAGCTAATGCCGGTACCGGGCCGCGCCATAAAAAAGGTAGGGGATACCGGGCCGCGGCATAAGAAAGGTTGGGGATCACTGCTCTAAAAGGATGCAAATGACCAGCTGTCTGCAAGGAATACAAACCTTTCCATTCCACACTATCCCGTCAGCCAAAGAAGCTTCTTGGATGAGAAGTGAAATGTCTTCAAAACAAGAAAGTCCAGTTGCCTCCTGAAAAAGCACCTTTGGGACAACCATAACCTGGATGACTGAGAATCTCTACAGACCTTTAGCTATACAATTTGGGATGAACACCCTTTGAATGGTGTGTGAGTAGGAGTGGATTTTCAGAGGAAAAAATGGCAGACTACAGGAACCAGGAGCACCACTCAGGTGACCCTGAGGACACAGATAAACCTCCAAGTACCTCACGACTCTCTAAAACAGGGGTGTCCAACCTTGGCAACTTTAAGACTTGTGGACTTCAAGTCCCAGAATTCTTGAGCTAACATGGCTGGAGGAGGAATTCTGGGAGTTGAAGTCCACAAGTCTTAAAGTTGCCAAGGTTGGACACCCCTGCTCTAAAAGGAGGCAAATGACTAACTGCAAGGAATATAAACCCTTCCATGCCCCACTATCTTGTCAGAGCTTAAGAAGCTTCTTGGATGAGAAGCAAAACATCTTCAAAGAAAAAAAAACAGTCCAGTTGCCTCCTGAAAAAGCACCTTTGGGAGGATGAAGTCATTTGTTTTACTTCTTTTTCATGCAACCATGGAACTGAAATACACTGATGTCATCTCAGATACATATGGGATGGACCAGGAGTCATTTTTTGTTTGGTAGTACGTAGAAGCAAAATGTCAAGAAATTATTCGTCTTCTGGTTGCTGAGAGCAGTCTGGCTAGTGCTGGTATTATTTCTACCACAGGAGCCAGAGTACAAAATACTGGTGGCAATATTAACAACAGATTCTTGGTGGGGTTGTCTCAGAGATACTGCTATTTAACTAGTTATCATCAAGTCCCTTTCCACTCTCTTTTTCCGTTAGCTATATCAAGATAAAAGTCCCTCTCTTTCGGAGAAGATTTTAATAGTTTAAACATATTTCATTAGGGAGGAACAAAAATTTATTCTACCACTAAACCAACACAAATCCAACCCTGCTGAGGGTCATGAAAACTTTTTAAATATGAGGTTAGAGTCATGATTACTGGAATCTTTGAGTTTGTGATTAAATTAATTTAATTCATTTACTATCGGATGGACTACTGAATTTCCCATTTCCACAAATACTTCTCTTGGTTATATGCCATCAAATTGTTTTTGATTCCTAACTTAGATAGACTTTCTCTGTGGATTTTAGTTACAGAGACTTTTTCTCTCTCACTAAGATAGAAAAGTAGATAAATATATATCAGATGGAGATAATTATTTTTTGTTTGCAGGGTGAACTCACATACAGGTGAAACTCACATACAGTATAGGACTGTAAATCCAAGATCCTAGAGTTCCGGTGCCCCCTGCTGGCTGTATTGGGAATACCCTATTCCGTAGATTCATAAAAAAATAAACAAGTTAATTACCAAATGCACTCTGCAAATAAAGAATTAGCTTAAAGATAAGGGAAATGTGCATAAGATATAGAAACAAAATGTCACAAAATAACACTTAAAAACAAATTACATAAAAAAAGATTGAGATAGTAGTGTGCAGAGAAGCGTCAAAGATAATTAAGGGGGAATAGAGGCTAAAATATGAAGAAGGGTTGCAAGAATTAGGTATGTTTAGTCTAATGAAAAGAAGGACTGGGGTGACATGATAGCAGTGTTCCAATATTTCAGGGGTTGCCACAAAGAAGAGGGAGTCAAGCTATTCTCCAAAGGACCTGAAGGTAGGACAAGAAGAAATGTATGGAAACTTATCAAGAAAAGATCCAATCTAGAACATTGGAGAAATTCCCTGTCAGAACAATTAATCAGTAGAATTGCTGGTCTCCAGAAGTTGTGGGTGGTCCAACACTGGAGGTTTTCAGGAAGAGATTGGGCAGCCATTTGTCTGAAATGGTAAAGGGCTTCCTGCTTGAACAGGGGTTAGACTAGAACAGGGGTCGCCAACCTTTTGGACCTCAGGGACCACCAAACTTATAATTTTAAATCCCGGGGATCACTAATATGAATTTTGACTGACGGTGGCTTGCTGACATTGGTGGGAGAGAGAGAGAGAGAAAGAGATCTGATCTAACCTCTCTCTCTCTCTTTCTCTCTCTCTCTCTCTTTCTCACACACACACACACACAGAGGCAGGGGTGGGATTCAAATTTCTTAACCGGTTCTGTGAGTATGGCCTAATTTGTGGGTGTGGCTTGGTGGTCATGTGACTGGCTGGGCATGGCTTGTATATAAATATTATAAATATTTCTGTAAATATTGAATTTTTTTATAAAAAAAGAGCAACTTTTACTCAAAATCAGGCAAAGCAGGCAGGCAGATTGAGTTGCGCACAAAATCACAGATTCACTCAGAGATCTATCTTTCTGCCATCAGCTACCTGAGTCTGCACTGAATAATAGAAGCTTCAGTCCTAAGGAAGGTTAGGCTCTGCTTAAAAGCAGAGGCAAAGATCTAAAGATTAGCTAGAAAGCAAGAAATCCAACCATTTCCTGCTTTCTAGCTAATCTAAATCTCCCAGCACGGCCGAACAGCTGATGGTTGGGGGAAAAAAAAAGGAAAAATAGCAATTTAGCAGACAAGTTTGCCAGGTAAGGAGTGAGTAGGCAGGGAGGGTTCCTGCGGGCCATGTTAGCGGCACAGCCTTGTGTTCCTACACAGCCTGGATTAATTGCTTGGGGGGGTGTTCTAGGGGTGACATTTCTCTGCGGCCCACCAAAATTTTCTCGCGGACCACCAGTGGGCCGTGGCCCACCAGTTGGCGACCACTGGACTAGAAGACCTCCAAGATCCCTTCCAACTCTGTTATTCTGTATTCTAAACTATCAATAATGAACAGTAACATATTTTGTGCCTTTGAGGTAGCCTTGGCTCCTGGCGACTGCCTGAGTAAGTCCCTGCAATTTTCTTGGCAAGATTTTAGAAGTGGTTTGCCCTTGCCTTCTTTCTAGGGCTGAGGGAAGGTGACTGGCCCAAGGCTATGCAGCTGGCTATGTGCCTACATCTCCCAGTTTCTCCCTGGTGCCTTAACCACTACATCAAACTATTTCCCCTGTCGTTCCATGTAATTGGGGTGAAATGGCAGGAGGGAAAGGGCACCACTCGGCAAGAGAAGAAAAAAAGTACTTGTAGGTTCAAAAAAAATGTTGTCCCAGGAGGCAGTGTTTTCATTTATGCCTGACATGTAAAACCAATCAGGCACATAAACTGGAAAATCTCTTTAATTGCTTTATAACAAAGGGCACTTGGTTCTAAAGTTTTCACAGGAAGCACAAGGATTTGGTCACAGTAAGTTTTAAATGTTTACAATTAGAAAAATTGTGATATCATTCATGAACGCAATTTCATTGGCAAACACAGTTAAAACACATGCAAAAGATGAACACGAAGCGTGAGCGAAGGAAATCTGAGCCTGTGCTGCCTGGGGAATTCTGGGAATTGAAATCCCCATATTTTAAAACAGCTGAGGTTGAGAAACACTGGATTAAGCGGTTGAGTCAGTGTGTCAGAATTTAACTAATTTTCTACTAATTGTCATACTTCCAGATTACACAATTGTTAAATCCAGTTCTTGAATTTAAAGAATTAGAAACCGGTGCATCTGAGGATGTGCAGAATGTTTTCCAGAATGTTTTGGAACATTATCGTAGCAATGAATTAATAGGGGACAATGAACATTGTTGCATGAATGAGAACATCTATGTTCAGAATGTTTCCGTCTGCTTTGCTCATACTTGTATTGCAATTATCTTAAAACGTCATTTAAAATCAGCGCAAAAATCAGATTAAGTTTGATGGATATCGTGAATTTTCTGGAGTTCCCTAATTGCTGGTTATTTAAAACAAAGTTTATTCAAGTGGATTAGCAGGGTCAATTTCCAGGTCAGAGGGATTGGCTTTGCTGTGGTGAGCTGAAACTTCTCAGCACTGTTAAAAATTAACCTCTGCTCTCATCCTAGACAGGACTGAAAAACAATATGAGTCACGAGGAGCCTGGAAACGTGCCTTCTGTCTCTCCAAATCTAATGAAACCTCCTGCTCTAGTTTTCCTTCTCTTCCAAACGTTGAAGATCTCTTAGCATTTCCCAACTTGTCCAGGAGCTGACTCATAGCCAAGTAAGAAACCAGAAGCTTCAGGGATGACCTTGCAACATCAGCTGGCTTCTGGCACAGAAAACCCTGCCCTGGGTTTTGTGTCCAGCATTCGTGCTCTATATGCTGCAGTGAAAGCAGGAAGAGAAGAAGAAAAAGAAGAAGGTGGAGCCATGGCTGCTGTCCTTCTCCCAGGAAACCTGCAAGATGAAGCCACTTGCTCAGTTTGTCTGGAATATTTCAAGGACCCCGTGTCCATCCAATGCGGGCACAATTTCTGCCGGGCTTGTATCACCAAGAGCTGGAAGAGCCTGGAGGTGGACTTCCCTTGCCCTCAGTGCAGGGAAGTGTTCAAGGAGAAAAGCTTCAGGCCCAACCGACAGCTGGCCAACATGTCTGAGATCATCAGCCAGTTCATCCTGCATGGTGGGAGAGGCCTTGAGGACGACAGGATCTGCGAGAAGCACAAGGAGGCCCTGAAGCTTTACTGCAAAGACGACCAGAAGACCATTTGTGTGGTGTGTGACCGGTCCCGGGACCACCGACCTCATGCGGTGGTGCCTGTAGAAGAGGCAGCCCAGGAATACAAGGTATGCACCTACCTGTCTGTTGCACAAATATTCTTCTCAGGTTTACAAACGTCTCGGGTCTACCTGTCTCGAAAGCCTTTCCACATTGTACCTGTTCTTTGCTGAAATCTACCAAGGGGCTAAGCTAGGCATAAGCTTTCATCGAGAAGGTCCTCGTTCAGTTTTGGGGATCTCCACCTCTATACCTTGAGGAGCTGTTGAATGCCTGAGATAGTATTCTGAAAGCTGACTCAGCAGCTAGGTTCAGATGACATGCTAAATAAACCTCAAGCTTGCTATATTCCCAGTACATGCTCTGGTTTAATGGGGGTGGATGGCCTGTTTCATCCAACATGCAGCCAAGCCAATAGCTAGTTTCTGGCATCTGCTGAACCAGAAAGTCATATTTTAGTCTATGTTGTGCAAACTCACCTGTCTTTCTATGTTCCTTAACTTTTCCAGAAAAAAAAAAAATCCAGTAGAAGGGAAGCAATTTTGAGAAAAAAAATAATAATGGTATGCACAAAACTTCCAAATGTTACCTATAAAAAAAATCATTGCTAACCTTTCTGTGATTCTTTTAATTTCTTCCATTAATATCCCCCCTTGCCCCTAAAAGCTTAAGGAAGGATACATGGGGATTTCATCCAAAAGCAGCAACCCAGAATAGTGACCTGAAATACAATAATGGCTGGAAAAGTCACTGTGGTTGCAGTTGGGATTTAAATCATTGCAGTTGGGATTTAGATCATCGTCTTGGGGTTTCCTTTCCAAAAGTCCAACCACTGTACTCCCGTGATGAGAAAACGGAAGAAGATTTCAAAAGAAAGAGGTTCACTTGGATCCCGTGTAAAAATCTATACATGAGACCTCGGTGGGTGGGTGGGAGTTATACAATACAGTTCCCACCTGGAATTAAATTCCATAGTTGCCCCCATGTTTCGTTCCAAATTAAGCCAGGCTCAATCATATCTATTGAAAAATAATGAAATTGTTTTAGTTTTCAGCATTGGGCAAAACAGTAGCCTTTGGACCATTCACTTCCAACAACTGAACCTCACAAGATGCAGGCCTGTGGCTGGTTCCCACTCGTATATTTCCCTTTATAGGGTTAAAAGTTGCAAGGGGATGGAGGGAAGAGGTCAGCAAAACCCACCAAAACCCCTGAGGGATTAGAAGAGCTGAGCTGCTAGTCAGCCAGCTGGGTCAAGCAGAATTTCTGCAGGCTGGTGTGGACAGGGGCACTTCCTAGACACCATGTCCTGGATTTTGTGATTTTCAGGGGGAGCAGCAGATTTGGGTTCTTGGGTATCCCCCATACCAAATGGACAGGGCTTTTCCTCAATCCTTTTTAGATAGGGAACAAAGAGAGGAGCTGATTGCACCTTAAAGCAGTGATCCCCAACCTTTCTTATGCCGCGGCCCGGTACCGGCATTAGCTGGGCGCCGCCATCTTTTTTTGATGAAAAAGTGCTTCCGGTGACCTCACCGGAAGCACTTTTTCATCAAAAAAAGATGGCGGCGCCAGCGCTTCTGGTGAGCTTTTCCGGGTAGAAAGCCATTTCTACCTGAAAAAGCTCACCGGAAGCGCTGGCGCCGCCATCTTT